CCTGTTCAAGATCGTTAACAATTGTTTCATTCAAGACACCCAACACTGGCCCAAGGGCAGGGAAGGACAATTTTTTTCTTTCAGTGTTTTCAACCAATAAAACAGCTTTTTCTATCAAGAGCTAACCTTGTTCCTTTGTTTCTTCTTGTCGTGCCATCAATGTCTCCAGTTTGTCCCCAATGTCTTCCACTTTACTTTTCATCTGATCTAAATTGTCTGCGGGTCAAAATTGACATTTTGTTTCAGATATTTCTGTATCTTTGGTAGAGTTCAAAGCTATTGAAACATTTGCATTTATACTTAAGGGTTGAATAACACCATACATGGAAAGTCTAGCTCAGATTCCACTGCAGTAAGTGACTAGCTATAGGAATATTACTCTTATGCCTGGACAGAGAGCCATTCCATTGCAAGTTACCCTCGCTGCATTTCCTGACAGTTTCCATCTTCAGTTGAGTGTTCCCACCGCTAGCGCATCTAGATTAAAGTGTCTTAAAGGCATACATGTCTAGTCTCCTTCACAATCATTTCTTGGGAATTCATACAACTCATCACATGACTATGAGCCAAAGCAATGTTTTGTGCCTAAGGTCCACGCAGCTTGATTAAATGTCAAACTTCCACTTTAATTTTTTTTTTTACCTGAGTCATTGATTGGCACAACATATACCTTCAATCTCTCTGATCGTTTCTTTGATATTGTCCTCATCTTGTTTCCACTGCTTTAGCAGCTGCCTGTAGTGTTCTTCTGTCTCAGGATCTATGCACTCATTCTTAAGCTTACTTATAGCAGCTCCATAACCTGCTCCTACTAGTCCTAATATGGCATTGCTGATATCCTGCCAGTAGCTGTTGAATGTTGCATCATCTACAGAGGCTTCGGTGGCATGGGCGTACACAGTATTACGGTAGTATTTCAGCCTGGCTATGTTGGCTGCCTTACTCATATCTGTTGGTGAAGGAAGTCTGTCCCATCCAGTGCTGGGAGGAACCAATCCACAGATATTCCTCAGAAGCACCATCAATAACGTTACATCAAAGTTTTTTGATGAAACAGATGATGGTATAGTTGGATACAGCTTCCCCCATTGTGTAGGATTCAGGATTCTCTTCTTCCTCAGAGACTGTAGTGTTACATCCTCTGGGTGACGCCCCAAAACTGTATGAAGTCCTACTGGAGGATGTATGGCATCAAAAGTGTCTCTCAAAGCCTGGGATCCAACATCCACCAGAAGGCGACACAGACGAGCATAGTTAGTTGTTTCCTTCGTAGAAGGAAAAGCTGTTGTATAGGCTGATGCCATGTGCTGTAGTAGTAAAAAAAAAAT